ACATTATTGTGGTAACCGGTGTGTTTGTGTTGTGTGCATGGGTCTGTTGTCTGTGATAAGTATTGCCTGCCAGGGCTTTGATAGTGGTTTTGGCTAGCAGGAGTCACTTGTTTGATTTATTGAAATTCCAAGCTTGCTTCTAGTAAAATGTCATCTAGCAGAAAATGACTTTTTTTCCTCCAAATTAGTATTTTCAGGCATTCAGAACTATTGCAAAAAGGGTGTTTCCTAAGAATGTTTATCAAAGGGCCTCCAGATGTGCAATACTTGCAGCTGCCTTTGTTATCTTATAGCCCCTCTGTACAGCGTAACTGATGCTGTTCACATTTGCCAGGATGGGCATGTTTTAGAATAGTATCTTGTTTTGTGTGTAGTACTGACCAGTGTATCTAAATTGAATAGATGCATGCAGATTCTTGGGTGCAGTGCTTACTCTGAGAAGGATTTTAGGCTACCTAACCTTTAGCAAGCGGAAGGAAAAAAAACCCTTTTTTTTTTATTTGTTTGCTGTGAAGAATAATAGAATCTCTGAGCAGTTAACACTGTAAAAGAAATATTTCAAAAGTGATATTTCATAAGGAGTTCTTTTTTTTAACGAGGCTTCTAGAAAGCAGATAAATATGAGGTTTTGTAAGCAGGATTGCTGCCATTCTAACAGTACTTGTGTGATAATTTGTTTATTAGTATGCACCTTTCTGTCACAAGTCCTGATACTTAGCTGTTCTCTGTGGCAAGTAGCTTGGTATTTCAAGATTACCAGCCAATGGCCAGACTTCATATGCTTTTTCAAGGAATTGATCTAAGCATACCACACCCGTAAAATTGAATTAATACCTTTTTAAAAAAGCTTATGCCTTTAGTTATCTTACAACAGGGTTTGCTTCAATTACTATAGATTGGGTAATGATCTTGTGCCTGGTTTTACTTTCACTGTTCAACTTAATGACTTAAAATACTCTAAAATAAAGGTATAATTTACTAGTGTGAGGATCATGAAAAGGTAAAAAAGGCTACTTACGTCTTAATGGGTTCCATCAGAGCATCAAACAGAAGTCTCTAAATCCATATACTAAAACGCATAGATTCACCCTTGTTCATGATGACTTTCATACTGTTTCCAAATAAATGAAAAGATTTTTTTTTCATTCCAATCCAGCTTTTATGCTGGGTATGTCCAGAAGTTTGGTTTTTTTTTAAAAAAAAAACAGCACAACACAACAACCAAACAACCCCTCCCCTCCAACCCCAAACAAACCAACAACTCTTTAAAGAGTGCTAGGAAATTTTTATATCTGAAGTGGTGGTTTGGTTTGCTCTGTTTCTTCTTGCAGCAAGGCTATAATTAAAACAGCTATTTCTAAGATACCCAACTTCATAATTTCATGGAATAGTTTGAACTGATACTGTTTGGACTGGGGAGGGGGGTGAAGGTGTTTGGTTCTCCCTTCACTTTGTGTGAGCTCATGTTGTCCCCTGTTATCAGCACAAGTGTTGGGTGTCACCTGGTGCCAGTTACCCTTTGAGCATTGCTGGCAGCAGTGTAGCCAGTACCCGTAATATGAAAACTGGAGACTGGGTCCAACCACGCAACCAGGCACCCTGACTTTGTTGTGTTGTTCCAAGGTCTCAAGCAACAGCAGTAGGACTAGGTGTTGACTACAAGGCAAAGTCAAAGTTAAGGAATGACAACACTGTATTTGGATTCCTTTGTATGACAAAGTCCATGCTTCTGGCAGTGGAAATGTTGGGGAAATTAAATTAGAGACACTATTTAGCATTAATTTGGTAAAGCTGTGGACTGCTAAAAAGGGCTGATCCCTTGGTCACCAAAGAATCCTTAGGGAGAGGAGAGAGAACTGTTCCAAATACTGTGTTGAAAGATACACAGAGAAAATATAATTCAAGGAGAGGGCAAAGAAAGAACAAAGTGCTTTTAACTTTTTAAAGTCTACCTCAAAATACAGCCCTAAGAAGATTGTTGACTTCTGACAATCCAGTTCTGGAAACCTCAGAATATGCTAAAACTGCAGAGATGCACAGTAAATGGTGCTGTATCAAAGTAAGTATGCCTGGACTTAAGGAGAAGTAAGCCTGGGTTAAACCTCTTGATAGGAATTTAGTGTGTTATTACTGTTTCTCATTACTCTTTTTTTGGGGTAGCTGCATTGTTGCTAGATGGAGAATCTGTTTTATTTTCTGTTCTTTAGGAAGGCATGTGCCTGTTTTTCCTGTATGTGCAGTTCTGCATGATGAAATGAGCCCAAGTACAGAGGCTGATTTCTAATGTAGAGAACCTAATGAGAAATTGTTTGCTGCTTTTTGTGGTGCTTGTGTGTTTGTTTTTAAATAACACTCTCTTTTCTAAGTGAGCTTTATTACAGCTTAAGGGAGAAGGTAATTTGTATTCATACCTAAACAGTCTAGTTAAACAACCTAATCTAGAGAGGTATTTCAGTGTTAAATAAGCAAAAGCTAAGCCCTATGCATATGACATTTGAGTGCTTAGTCTTTGGTGTAGTATTAACAAGAACTGATTTTTTTTTTTTTTAATAATTTCCAGCAATATACTTCCAGTTCACAGTGTTTGAATGCTAGGTGATGCAGCCTTTTGGGCAATAAACTCCTGTTTTTCTGTTGTGCTTGTTGTCTGACTTTGTGTTCTTTGTATGTTTCGGGGATGATGCTATACTAAGAAAATGTTCAGGTAACTAGTAGATACCTCCTGGCATGACTTCCAGAATTAAAAGACTTAAATTAAAGAATGTTGGGATATTCTAGCTTGTGTCTATTGAAATAAGAAGCTCATGGCATGTGAAGATTCTATTGTATGTGTCTAAATTTGAAGGATGTGAGCAGGGGTGTAGTTAAGTATGCCAAAAAAAAACCCCACCAGTTTGTCTCCTCTATGATAATGGTATGTTTAAGAAAAACAATACATGCTTTTGTTGGTAGGATAAAAATCAGAATTATTTTCAGTGATAATGTTTAGAGTATTTTGAATTTTTTATTATTATTAAAATTATTTCTCTTAATAAACTGACAGAGGCATGAGGTTTGGAGAAAGAGGAAAAAGATTCTTAAATGACTTTTAAGAGAGGCAGGCTTAGGTTCAAAATTTTGACTCTGCTGTTCTGGCAGATGATCTGAGAGTTCACAATACTGTATCTGGCACTGTAACATGCTGCGAGATGCAGCAGTGAAAAAAGAAAAATGTTTAAAATATTTTTAGGAAGCACTTTGGGGAGTTTTGTGTGTGTGGTTGTTTTGATGTGGCTTTTCCTCCTTAATAGTATGCTATATGAATAGAGTTAGATGACTTTTATAACATCTGTATCAGAACATGGAAACTGTGGAAGCAGAGGGAGAGAATACAAAACTTCTTGGGTTCAGTAGGTTTGAGTGTAGCAGGTGCTTGGACCTTGAAAGCTCTCTTCTGCTGCTGCCACCTATACTTCTTTTCCTGAAGTGGGATTTTTTTTGTCTTCTGCAAGTTTAACTTAACTAAAAATTGCTAAAAGGATTTTTTTTTTTCCTTAAGAGGGTTTTCTTCATCTTTTGTGGTAGGTGTTTGTGTCTGCTGTCTTTCAGAAAACCCCTTTTGCATGATTTTGCAATAAAATATTGCATTGCAATATCAACCAAGTAAATTCTTGAGTCTGTTAGATATTGCTGACTTTGTCATGCTGTTTTGTCTTATTGATTATGTTTCTTCTTAATTTTTATTTACTTTTTTAAAAAAACCATAGGTTATTATTTCTCTTACTGTGGCAAAGCCAGCTCTGCCTTGGCTGCCTGACCTCCTCCACAGCCTGCATTCTGACTTTTGGAGGGGCTGTGTTGGTCATCCTACCATCCTGCAGAATGGAAAGGAAGCGTCCCAGTGAAGAGGTTCTTTGTTCAGCGAGTTGCTGGGGCCTTCTTGCACCTCTCATGTATAAGAACTCATCTTTCTCCATCCCCTGCTCAGTCCTTTTGTGCAGTTCACCAATTTGTAGCTGAATCGAGAACTGCATTTCCCTAATGAATGTGTTGGCTGTGGTACACTTTTTGGCTCAGCTGAAGGAAATCTTGCTGGTGTGCAGGGAGAGAGGGAAAAGGAGATGCTGCTTCATGCATGCACCGTATTCCAGACTGAGCAAAAAAGTCTTTTTGGTCTTGCCATGCACTCAGCCTCTGTGTTTCAGTTTTCACATGGCTGGGAGAGATCTCCTTTAATTTGGGTACCTAGAAGGTTACTGAGATATGGTAGACTTATTAGTATATTTACTTACCTGGGGAATATTGCCAGCCTCAAGAAATGACTTGTATATCTTAGTTTCCCTCTGGCAGAAGCTTTATATAATGTATTGAAGATCATTTGAGCGTGAACTTTGTTTAACTAATAGTGAAAATAAATTCCATAGTTAGTTCTCCATTAATAATGTTTAAACATTTGAATAAAAGGAGTGTTAGCTGCAGTGACCTAACTAGTCCCCTTTGGTTAGTGTGATGAGGGAGGAGGAGTGAAAATCCAGATGGAAGGCACTGAGGCCATGAGCAACTTCATCAGTTTATACCTCGAATTATGCCCAGAAGCAATAGTTGCCTCCATTATGAAGATGTTGGTGTTATCAATTTCTGCAGGAGGAAAAAAGAGAAACTCAAACCCCATAACAACAACAACCCACCCCACTGACACTAGAACTGAGTTCAGGTTTTTGTAATTAGAGTTGTTTACCAAACCTGTGTTGTGCAACCTCTGAGCACACAACATGTGTACACTTTACTGCTGGCTCACTCTAAGTGTACCGTGTGAACTATTCTTTTAATTACAAGTCCTAACTGTGTAACTGTACGCTTGCACATCTGCAGTTAGGGTAGAGATTACCTATAAATCAACAGCAGAACTTTGAACACTGAATTCACAAAATGCTATTGTTTTAATTCTCTCCTAAAATACAGTTTGAAATTAAAAATATTTTTCAAAATGACACATCTTGACAGAAGACATCCAGAGCGGGATGGGAACTTACTTAATATTCTGTCAGACAGCTGCTATCAATGGCCCTTTTGGGATTGAATCTTTTCATGTTGAGAGCATCATGGCGGTACAGAGAACTGAATTCTGAGGTTCAGATTTTGAGTCTCATCTGAAAACAAGCGTTTGGAAACATTGAGGTATTAGTATGGCCTAAGAGTGTCCCTTAAAATATGGCTGCTCACAGTAAACATGTAGAAGTATATATAACTAGCTTACTTCAAGATGACATATGAGCTGTGCTGTGTGTATAGTTGAAGGTTTAAAAGGTGAAGAGACATTTGCACAGAACTAACACACCTTGGCATCACCCAGCAATGCAAGGGAGAAATCTTGACACCACCAAAAACCAGGGGATATGTTCTCATGATCAGTCTGAGTCTGCATTCTGTACACCTTACTTAAGCAGACATGAGCACTGGACTTGAAGCTACCATGTCTGAATGGCACCAGTAGGTTGGCAAACTTCAAAAGACTAAGAATTTTTAATCATGATCTCATCTCTACAATGGCCAAATTTTCTTTCTCTTTATTTGACATTCATGATGCAAAAAAAATGTTTTCTAAAAATAAAGTGAGAATGAAAACATAAAATTAAATCATCCAGTTAGTAGGGGATTTCGAATGAACAGCCATTCACTAATCTTAACGTTGCTTATAGGTTAGTCCAGTTTGTTCATGCATCAGTGTCTTCCCATTTGTAAATTACTACTGCCACAGTACTTCAGTGTTGTACTTAGAACTAAGAACTGTTGTACTTAGACTGTTGTACTTGAGTTTTCTTTTAAAACACTTCAGCACATACATTAAATTTGTCTAGTTTGATGTTACCAGTGGATCTCATAGAAAGGAATGATTTGAAGGAATCTGAGGAAAAAAACACCTGCCACTTTCAGCGGATGTATTTGACTGTAAATGCTACTTCAGTACATAACTATTCTTTCTTCCCCAAGAAAGGTTTGGTTTGCTTGAGTTCTCAAACACTGAGTAGAACAACGTCTTTTCTTACTTAAAAAAGGCTTCTACTTTTAGCATATGTATATACCCTAATAGTTCTTAGAATTCTGTTTGTCTAGTTGTGGAGTCACTTGCAGTAGCTCAGAAGTGTCAGAATTGCATTTCAAAAATAGTTGTAGATGATCTGCCTGCTAACGTCATTAACTAACTATGTTAGCAGGTAGGTCATCTAACCAATATCCTTTTAAATCAAAGATAAAACTGTGGAGTTAGTAGACTGATAAATAATCTTTCCTGGCAGCTACTGTGGAGTAGAAAGGTTGGGAGGAGAAAGGTTATTCCTGAATATTTATTGTCTTCATAAAAGAATAAACTTAAAAGACTTGCTTTATTTATGCATTCAATATGTTTCACGGGTTACTAATTGAAAATTTGGTGTTCTCCAATTAAGTCAGATCATGTGCAGTGAAAGCTCTCTGCATCCAGAAGTCTTTACAACTTCCAGATATTTTTCACTACATGGACCAACTCTGTATTGTATTGCTCTATAATTTAAACTGCTCTTAAATTCAGAAGTTTCCTTTGTTGGGTGATAGTCTGTATGTCTTCCCTCTGTTTCCAAAGGAGGTGGAATGGCTAAAGTCCTTCAATAAATAATACTGAAATCATGAGAGTTTTCATTGCTAACTTCACTGAGATTAGGCTTTTAACTGTGGCACTTGTGTGTACTGGCACAAATGTTTGGTATCTAAGAATATTCTTTATTTGTAATGTCAGATATCTGACTTTATATGTTGCTTTCATGACTGTAAATGTAGAAGTGAGTAGCTGTTGAGTCCATTGCTTAGAAAGTCTTCTGTGATACATTATTTGGAAATATTTCAGACTTATATGCAATCTTAAGCTATGGAATTATAGTTTCTTTTTTCTTATTTTCATATAATGCCTTTCTTCAGTTTGTCTTATGCTGAAAAAAGTCTTTCTTTTGAGGCTTTCCTTCTGTGAAGTGGTTTGCTTATTTCTGGAGCAAGTTGTCTGTAAACGATGTTCCTGTAGTTATGACAGACAGAACCATTTTGTATGTAATCTTTCTTGCACAAATGACTCAGTCACAAGAGAGTGTAACCTTATTTTCAAAAGTACAGCAAACAAGAACTAGGAATAGTTGGTAACTGTTTTGTAATCTTTTTAGTTTCATAAGCCTGTCTTGACCCTCTTTAAGACTTGGTCACAGCGTTCTTTTTGTATTTTAGACATGCATCGTAGTTTAACAAATATCTTGATAGTTTTTATCATAATGAAAAAAGCTACAAATGTTAAATGTTAGTTTGATGTAAATGTTTTCTGGTAGTTTAAGAAACCACAATCATCTTTGTTGCCTCTAGATTCACTCCTTAACAGCATGTTTCAGATAAAAATGACTTGTACTATTACAAACATCTCTTATCACTGAGGAGGTACAGAATGAACAAGTTAATTTTGCTGGTTCCTATGCCTAGAAAAACATTCAAAAGAGTGAACCTAAAATTCAGAACAACAAGCCTGCATGTTGCCAAACAGCTAGACTTATATGGTTTTGTATACTCAGTTTAACTGGTGATTTTTTTTTTTTTTTCCCCCCTTTGGTAAGTTCACAGTTCCACTTTTAATACTTCCTCTCTCTAACTGTAATAGGAAGCTAGTGAAACTTATGGTGGCTTTTAGAAATGTTTGCATGTTCTAGAATATTTATGCTTCTTTTAGAAACATTTTAATCTCTAAGCTTTTGTACCTTTGATGAACCAAAATACTGTCCAAAGTCTGTATGACAGATAATACTGATGTTGAAATTCTAGTTTGGCAAAACAAGTTTGGCTGATTTCCTGGGAGAAGGAGACCTCTGAAAGGTCTTCAGTCAGTAACAGAAATCAAAGCTGCAGAATTGGAGCTGGAACCAGTTCATTCAATTTCTATACTGTGTGTTCATTTATCTTAGTGTCGAAAGCTGTTAAGAGCTGTTTGTTTTTTTTTTTTTCATTTCTCCTCCCAGGGAGGCAATAATGCAGGGCATACAGTTGTTGTGGATTCTGTGGAGTATGACTTTCATCTTCTGCCAAGTGGGATCATCAATCCAAAAGTGACTGCTTTCATTGGTAAGTGGGACATCTCTAATAAATAGACAGTACTGTAGTCACAGACTTCTGACATTAAAATAAAAAAATGTCTGAGAACATACAGGATTAGGATTTTTCTTCCTCATATTCTCTTAGGATTGAACTGTTCTGCAATCTTCTCAGTTTTGCCCTAAGTATTGTGAAGTTTGGATTATGGAAGTTTATTTTATTGTCTTGGATAGTTCATTTTTGTTTTATCTGTCCTTTCAATGCAAACAGCTAGCTGCCCAGTCTATCTTCATTCTCTTATTCCCTCTTATTTTCTCTATTACTTATTTCTTTTATTCTAAGAAGTTCTCTTCTGTTTTAATTTTCAATCCTGCTAAATAACTACTAGTACCTCTTGAAACCTAGGTTTTTCTTCCCTTTTCCACTGGATTGTGAAATGAATGCTGACTTCAAAAGACTTCTGCATTATGTAGTTCTTACTAAGGAGTCCTCTTAGGAGAGTACTTTAGAAGGTGTAGGGCAGTGGCAGTACTATGTGGTCAGGATCTATGATGTTTGCTTCCTGAAAGTGGGTTTAGATTGTCCTGCCTATTGTCCCTCCAAGTCTACATACCTTCCCTCTCTTGGCATCCTGTTTCAAATTCTACATGGATTTCGATAGTTTGTATGACCAATCTACTTAATAATACTGTGTAGCCCTTAACATTTTCTTCTAAACATGAGGGTAAATATGAAATGTCTACACAGCATTAAAACTGTGTGCTGTGTCACAAATCAGGTGAGTGTCTGGGGCACTAAAGACTATGACCTATCAACACTTCCATCCTGCTTTTTTGATACCCACAACGCCTGTCCCTTACACAGTGTTTTTTTCTGAGTCAGGACTCCATTGCTATGCTGTTCTTACCACTTCTCTCTCCATGTATCATTGCTTTGAGTCTGTAGTCTTGCCTCCCAGCATTGTGCACGTGCCAAGAGTAAGTGGTCATCGTTTGCTGAACAGCATAGCAAGTAGAGAGCACCTTCCACTGGTTACTTATTCATAAACAGTACTTGCTCAATTCTTTGATACAGCTTGTAGTGACTGTATACCTACAGTCAGCATTAGCTCTTTGTCTGATGGGAATTGGTGGTTAATTGCCTCTTTTCAGCTGTTATATTGTGATTTGGTAGTGGGATAATTTTGGATCAACTTGCCCTGCCTAATACTTGTACAGAAACTGAACCAATGGGCATGGAAATAGATTCCATCTGAAGGGGAGGTTAGGATATTAACAGCTTCTAGTTTTGAGGGCCATGTCAGATGATACTACATTTATTCTCCTTTGATTTGTGACTGTGTAACCTTTTCTTTAAAAGGTTATTGCTTGAAAACAGTAAAAATGGATCCCTATTTGCCACATTTTGTTTGGTGGACGTAGGAAAAAACCCATCCTTTAAAAATACAATAGGCAGGAGAGAGCTTTTCACAAATCTTCTTGTGTGTATCTGCTATGTCTTGGTCTTGTCTCTTCTGAAATTTGTTCTAGCTTCTTCTAGGTCTGCCTTCTGTTTAAAATCTCTTTTTGGGGAAAAAAAACCCCTTATCTGACTTAGGATTCCATTGAAAAGGCTTATAGGTTCAGAAAAAAAAAAGGGCAATGGCAGAACAATTGGATTATTATAATAGATTAGTAGTATTGATTAGGACTGTACCAGGAAGGTTATAGTGAAGAAGTCTTAAATACTTTGTATTTTGGTGTTTAGAATACTTTTCTCTATGTGAAATTAGGTGATATGCAAATAATAGTAGGTCCCTTCATTCTTTAGTGAAATGTTATTATACTGATCACATTGGATCTACCGATCTACTGAGTTTGATATGACCTTAAGATCGTTCATTTTTGCTATATGGAAATGCTCCTCCGTAGGCACTTGGTGATATCAGCTAGTTAATTGTATGAACTAGTAGTCACAGCTACATGACAGCTGTAGGAAAGCCAGCTTGCTTTTGGTAGAGCTTTTTTCCCTGTTATTTTTGCTAGTCTGTTAACAACTCCAACTCTGTTTATGGATTATTCAGTGTCTATTTGCAGCAAATGAGTGCCTGAGGGGATGCTAGAGTTTATAATGATGACAGAAATGTGCTAAGCTTTTAAAAAACAATAGGGTTATTAAACTGAAGTACAAAGAGGGAAGTTAATTTTAGATATGAGAAAGAGGAAGTTGCATTCCGGACTGTCCCACGATGCTGTTACTCTTTGTCCTGATCTGAATTGAAAGTTTGTTGACTTTGTTAAAATATTCAATGCATGTAGTTAGAAATGCATACTTTAGGTGTAAATCAGTCTTTTACAGAGAAATTCCTGAGAAAAAATGTTGCAATGTATTGGAAGTTAAAATAATTAAAATACTCTGCATGCAAAATATGTCTTTGCATTGTTTGGGGTATTTTTTTACCATACTCATAAATTTTGTGTAATGTTTTTCTCCAGGAAATGGCGTCGTAATTCATTTGCCAGGACTCTTTGAAGAAGCTGAAAAAAATTTAAAGAAAGGAAAACGTGAGAAAATGTTTAGATGCTATTCTTAAAATCATTTGTGGGGCTGCCCTCAAAAGATTTAGAGAGAGGATGACTCTGCGGGGGTTAAGTACAATTTGTTTTTCCAGAGCTCTGTTTCGCCGCTGGTTTCCAACAGGAGTATTGCTACAAGTTCCAGGACCCTTGTTGGGAGACAAGACAAAAGAAGTCTTTACATTGTCAGAAGATAGCATGGTCTAAATATGAATTATCTGCAGACATTTTTCTTTGCTTAAAGCAGTGAACTTAAGAAGTGAAGTAACTCGTTAAAATGTGTTTCCTTCTGCTATGTCTATGGCCGTGCTTAGCAGCAGCCTACTAGAAGTGAGGTAAATCAAGGATATGGATTAGTCAAAACCAAAAAGCTACTCATTGATTGCTGATACTGAGTAACTAGTAGAACAGCTAGAATGCTTCCTCAGAATAAGCCTGACTTTCTCAGCTTGACTGCTATCAAGTTTTAATTATTGAAATCTTAATTTTTTTCCTCTGGAGTGTGATTGCTCAATCTTTAAATAGATTGACCAAGGACTAAACATGAAAAGTATTTATTCTTTATAGATCAGAAGACAAAAATACTGTACAAAACCAGAATTTAAACTGTTACATTTTGTCTTTTAAGGGCTCGAAGGCTGGGAAAAAAGACTAATAATTTCTGACAGGGCTCATATTGGTAAGTTCATGTTTGTGTGTTGATTTTTATTTTGTGTGTGTTAATCTTTGTTTTCTCTGAACTTTCCATGGCAGTAAAAGTGTGTCAATTTTTAGCCATCTCTTTGTATAGATACGTATTTTTTGTTTGGATTAAGTCTCCATGTGCTGCTTTGGTTTATGTAAGATCTTAAAAAAAAAAATTGGGGCTTGGGACCATCCCATGTTTGTATTCTAGAGGCTGATTAAGCCTGTTCCATAAGCATAACCTGGTAAGGAGAGCAGGTTCAGTTTCCTAGGCAAAGATGAGAGGTGCAAAGCAGTCAAAAAGCAGTTCAGAAGTTAATTGACTGAAGGTTTCGTTTCCCCCTTTGTTGTAAAAGCAGAGTTGCTTATAGCAACTTCTCTGCTGGGAAACCACGTCACTGGGCAAGACTTCCAAACAAATGGGCTCCCTACCAAGTACATTGCCACATGCTTCAGACAGGAGACTCTATGGTGAGGACACTGCAGGGATGGAGAGCGTGGCTGCCCCCTCCCCAGGAGCTCATCGGTCAAGCGCCCATTCCAGCCTCTGCTCCAGGCAGCTCCCCAGTTCAGACCCTGGAGTGAGGTAGCGTCTGAACCGCCCACACAAAGCTTCAGAGGCTCTTCCTGTATCGCTCCTAGGACATCTTTATTGCATAAATTCATCCTTTAAATTAGATCTTTAGCTATTGTAACATAATAGCTGTGTAACTGCATGTCTTAGGAAATAGGGTTATTGCTGCTCTGGTAGTCATCTCATGGAGATGCATACTTTTTACTTTTTATCAGATACAAGCTTATAACACCGGAAAAAAGGTTTTGCTTTTCTGGGGGGGAGGTTGGTTGGTTGTAGTGTTGGTTGTTTTTGTTCGGGTGTTTTGTTTTTAGACAGATCTGCAATAGCTTAGTGAGTGAACATGTTATTTCAGAATAAATACGGTTTTAGTTTGGAGCAACTACTATGTTTGAAATAGGTAACTGTTCCTAAGTTTCTAAAATCCTTTCAGAGAGTAGAATCACTGTAGGTGAGTTACTTGGAAATTATGGGTTTATTAGAAAAACTGTTCTGCGATGATTGTATTGCAGTGGCAGTACTCTCAAGTTTTCAGAGCTAAGCAGGTCCTGACTAAAAAGGAACAGTTCTTGACTGTCACTCATAGTCATTCAACCTCCTGACATAAATGAACTTTCGGATTGCTACTGTTTAAGAATTTTTGATGACAGTCGAGATCTGTTGCTGTGATAAATAGGCCTTCTCTAAAATGGGTATTGATGATCTGCGAATGATTAGTCTGTAATAAAAAGTCAACCAAAAATAGGTTCAAGCTGCTGGGGATAATCTAATCCTTTAAATTATGGGGACGTGTGGCTATTAATGCAAAAAAAAATAAATTGATAAGCCAAACAAAGGAAACCACAGTTGTTCAAAAGAGACTAGAGTACTTATTACAAGTCCGTTTCTTGCAAATTTTCAGTCTTTCCTGGGTAATGTGTATATTAGCTGTTTAACTTTCAGGTGGTAAACAGTTTAAGAAAAATAAGTTTACTACTTTTTTGGTAGACAAAGATTGGTGGAAGGAATACTTTATGTACTGTTAATTACAAGATTATGCAGTACTTTAAAAAAATCAGGGCTTGTGAAGATGACTTCTGTTTACATAACAGATATTGGTGGGAGCTTTTTTATTTCCAAATGTATTGTATTTATTGTCTAAAACATAAAATGCTTTAAGAAATCTTTAGATGGAATGGGAATGTTTACTTAAAGTTCCCACCTTAAATTTCAGCAGTATGATGGTTTTTACTCTAACCTGTTTTCCAGGAGCTTTTTCAAATGTATGGTTCATTTGCACATTCTTTTTGGCCACTGCAAATTTGAAATGGCTTAATTACTCTCCAGGAGGCATATATACAGTCTGCAAGTATTTTACAAACTAAACACTTAAAATAAAAGAAAAAGGGTCTCTGAAAAAATAGAAATCTTCTCTGTGAGAAAATGTACTTTGTGGAACAGGAGAGGAAAAAAAAGTCTTGTCATTTTATTTGCTTCTCTTCAGTGTGTGTATTTTTGTTTTCCATATTGATAAACTGAGCTAGAGTAGGTTTGAAGAAATTGTTACTGATGTGATAATTTGTTTTACACAAATTTTCTACCGAAGTTGTTTTTATTTTCTTAGTATTTGATTTCCACCAAGCTGCTGATGGCATCCAAGAACAACAGAGGCAAGAACAAGCAGGAAAGAAGTAGGTAGTTTTGTTTTGTCAAGCAGCATGGCTTAGTACAACCATATGACTTAATACTTTATTGTTTATCAATGAGTTTTAAAAAGTATTAATTATCCTTGTAACTCTTCAGTGTGTATGCAGGGATCATTTTTTACATTTTGTAAAAATAGTAAAATAAAAATAGTAGTAAGTAAATAAAAGTAAGTAGATAAAAGTAGTAGTAAGATTATGTTCTTGATGAAAGGGTTGTGTCTTGATATTTTGCCTTATGAAAAAATTCCTAGTTTCTAATTTGTTTTATAAAAATAGTTCCTGCTTCCTACAGTTTTAATTATTTACTGCAGGTGTTTGTTTCTGTAAAAATACATTTCTGTTTATGGAGGTTGAAGGACCCCTTCTCACTCCAAATAACTGACAAGTCTGATGTAACTAATTTAGCCTCTCGCAAAGCTTTGTTGTCCGAAGTGCATGTAAATGTTCGCATTGTCTCCTACATGCTGCCACTGACTTTCTGGAGCTTTTGCAACTTTCAGAAACTAGCTGCTATGTTTCTGACTTGCAGTTTCCTAGTCGCTCTCTAGTTCTAGGGGATGGGCAGTCACTCAGGTGCTTGTGATAGGGAACCACTTTAGTAGTTAGCATTAAAGATGGTAAGAGAAAGCCGAATGAAGAAATAACCGCTTTTTTCCAAGTAATTTGTTTGAAAGAAACCCAGAAAAAAAAAAGTTGCATTCAAAGCTAAAAAGTTTTAAGTCGTTCTTAAAAGTGCTGTTTCTTCTTTCTGTGGGGTTCTTGAAATTCTGCAACAGCCAAAGAGTTTTCAAGCTTGTTAAAAGTGCTGATGGCTTGAAGGTTCTAAGCTGTTTCCTGCTAAATTTTAAGGCTACCTAAGTAACTGTAGCGAGGGAAGTACTACCACAGGCTGACAAGCGTAGGCCATCATAAACTGATTATCAGAAGGCTGTTTTCTGTTTGTTGGTGGTGGAGAATTGAATTAGCCACCTAGCAGGTCTAACTGTAGATTTGACTGCATAGTATTTTGTATTAAAATTCTTTTGTCTCTAACACTTCAAAGTTGATCATTATAAATAGTGAATTTATTTTTTAACTGAATGCCTTTATCTGTTCAAATGTAGTTCAAAAACAGTCACAAGTAAGGCTCATGTAGCTTCCCTTGCAGAAGGGTTATAGAAAAGCTAATTTAATGTAGCATATATGCTTATACAGTTGGTTTAACTTCTGTAAATACAGTCTTGTGACAGCTTGCCACTTCATAAAAGACTTAAGAGGTATGTCTTAATGAAACAAAATAAACAGAAATCAACTCCTCCTTAAGAAAAATTCTCTGTGGAGGGTATGAATTGGGGTGGAGGCTAGAGTCAGTTAGTTAAGATACAATGTCCTGGTCTGTTTAAATGATACTGTGTGATGCATAGTTGATAAGAGTGTTACTTTTTGGACTGGAGGCAAACACAACACTTCCTGAGACTCAGCATTGAGTCTAAGTGACAGAATTTGTTTTTTTCCAAGATCATTGTTTTGAATCTACTCCAAACTACTAATGACCTAACTAAAATTTTGTACTGATTATGAACTATTTAAGTTCATTTGTATATTAACTGATAGATTATAACAGAGTTTTGATATGACCTGTACCTTCTGCTTGAAATGAAGTCCCTCTTAAACTGTGCTTATGATGATGGTACCTTCAAGGCAGTTTGAAGAAATCTGGGCAATTCTGCATATGTGGAATTTTATAATTGAAGACTATAAGTCTTCAGGACAGTTTTTCGGGAAGGTATTTGTTAGTTTCAGTTCATAGTACTGAAGGATGTTGTCTTGGCATTCAGTCTTCAGTATAAAAGTTAGAAATCATGTACAAATAAATATGTAAGGGTTCACTAAAGTATGAAAAGTTACTGATTGAAAACCAGAAGTGTGTAGAAAATCAATGTGTTTATGTCTACAGTGATATTCTGAGACTTAAGTTGCATACTAAAAGTATCTCATGTTTTAAATGAAGCATAAAGTTCTAAGTGCTCACAATTAACAGCATTTCATTTTGTGCCAATGATGTGTTAGCTTTAAAGAGAAAATGCCTCAGTTTTGTGTCATGAATAACTCCTGTTATTATCTTTTGAAAGTTTGGGAACTACCAAAAAAGGAATTGGTCCAGTGTATTCTTCAAAAGCAGCTCGAAGTGGACTCAGAATGTGTGATCTTGTTTCTGATTTTGATGAATTTTCTGAGAGGTAATTTCTGTATTTTAATGCACAGTCATAAGCATAGTTTTTTCAGTTTCTGCATAGTACTCTGTGTAAGCAATTACATCTTGTTGCTGTTACTTTTATAAATTTAAATTATTTTAAAGTATGAAAATAATGTTTTTATGATTTTATTAAATTATTGATTTATTGATATTAAAATATTTTATTTTTTAAAGTTGTTTAATCGCCAAATAATAGCAGATATGTAACCAGGAAAAGCTATGGTTGGTGGGGACCTGAGGAGGAAAACAGACAAATAAAAACCTTAGTGAAGCGTTTTTGCCTTCCAGGTTCAAAGTGTTGGCCAATCAGTACAAGGCAATATATCCTACCTTAGAGATAGACATTGAAGGGGAGTTGAAGAAGCTCAAGGTAAGCCTGCTTCTGTCAGTGAAATAATATAATCACTGTGGGCACTTACTGATAGGTAAATCTCTTGGTGACTGATGCTTGTGCTTGTGCGAGGAGTTAAAACATAATAAATACCATGGGAAATTGGTATATATCAATTTTAAAGTATCTGCTAGCATCCTTAAAGACACTTTTGACCCTGCTTTATGCCGCACTTCAAAACTGGCTTCAAAAGAAATATTGTAAACTTTAAGAAAAAAGGCCTGTATAGGGAGAATTATTTTTGACTTCTACTTGCTCAAACATACTGTCTAGGAGAAAAAAACAAACCAAAACAAACGAACAAACAAAACGCCAAGAGTGTAGCTGGTAAAGGTGTTATTTCATTGTAAAGTGGAATGTTAATTCCTTGTGTCAGAAACTTAAGAATGAAAGTAAATTATTATTCTGAAGAAATAAGCCTTAAGGAAAAAAAATACTGTCTAACATCGTAGAAAAATGTAAGTTGATAGCAGTAGAACTTGTGAAGCCTGATTGCCAGCAAACTGGTCTTGTAGTTAATTATGAATTCTGATTTGATGTTTTCCCTGGAATTGGGACAGCTGTGAGATTTCTCACTGGTATTAATTCTCTTATGTCTAATTGTCCACTTTTTTTTTTTTGTGGTGCACCCAAGTTCTTACTTGAAAAAAATCATGTGTCTTACCCTTACCCACCCTTTTTGTTCATGCATTTTATAGAAATTTAACTTCAGGAGATTTTTTTTTTTTCCCCACTTCAGAAAACTTCAGCCAAATTTGATTGTTTAAAACCATTGAAGTATGTGTGGAACAGGGGAGGATATCCACATCTAGATATTTAATTCTTTCAGAAAATTGTGCCAAAGAAATGATCCTCCTTGTGTCTTTAGTTGCTGATAAACTCAGTTTACCAGCTCTAGAAAGGAGTGTATGGGAGTTCTTAGCACTTCTGTTTGTCTTACTTTAATACATTACACATGTTGAGTTGTAGTATTTTTACCAATCTGTGGACCTAAAAATCAGTTACAGCTGAGTGTTTTATAATGCTTTATAGTTTATTTAATACACATTAAGATGACAGAATATCTGAAACTCATTGGTAGGGTAGAAACATAATAGGTATTTGTAGCTTGCGGAAAATAACTTGCACTTACTGTTTGTTTTATGCTAATAGACTGTTTAATTTCTGAAAGACAAAGTGTTATATTTCATGTGAAGTGAATCATTAGCTTGAGAACTTCTGTATGTTCTCATGGGGAAAAAGTCTATGTACCAGGTAGTAATCTGAAGATTACTGGCTTCTTGCACCAGCTACTCCGTGGCATTCAGGCACTTGACCCTTTATTCCCATAAATAACTTTCTACTTTTACTTACAAACATACCTGTATATAGATGATAAATTAGTGCTGCTTTATGTTTGTGTGCATTTGTTGTCTTCAGATGGCCAGAAGTGGAACTCCCCACATACTGGTTTTGGGGGAGAAATTTTGAATGTTTAGAAAGGAAATATTGAACATAGTAAAGTATTGTGGTGATACTCAAGCTTGAATAGTTCTAAAGCATTTAAAAAGTTTTGATTTTATATCTTTTTTTTTTTTTTCTTCCTTTTTTTCCTCTTCTGTTCTTTTTTTTCCTCCTAGGAAGTCTATATGTCTATTGTGTAAATCTGAGCCTAAGGTTCTTCCTTCCCTTGGCCATGTCTTACAGCATATTTAGCATTTCTTCGTTTGCTTTTCCTTTTCAAAAGGACTAAGACCATTGTTATGAGGGTGCAATAGCATTTGTACTGACTGGCTTTATCATAATGAAACAATACTATATAATAGTCTCTTGTATTATACAGGGCTGCATGGAAAAAATAAAACCAATGGTAAGAGATGGTGTTTATTTCATGTATGAGGCTTTACATGGACCACCAAAGAAGATCTTAGTAGAAGGTGCAAATGCAGCACTGTTGGACATAGATTTTGGTAAGTATAACCTTTTTGAGACACACCTAAGTTATATACTTTGATTTTGAAAGAGGAGCACTAAACACAAACTCTCCCAATGCTTCTTGTTAAATTATTTCAAGAAGCTTTAGACTCCCAGGATTAAGTGACAGTAAAGATCAGGTGACTTTTCTGAAGCAGAGTTTACCTGTTGCTTCAATATTATACATTTTATGTGAAATAACTCAGTTGTATGCATTTATGGAAAACACTTAAGCGAAATGGAGAGCTTTGAGAGGCAAAGTATGTAAAATACTTGCTGGCTTTTGAAGTGTCAGTTTGCAATTTTTAAACCCTTTACAAAACACTTAGTTTTCCACTGTTTAACAATTTAAGGAAAGATGTTGAGAATCTGTATTGTTTACTGAGGCCAGGGTAAAAAGATTGTCCCAATCAATTTGAAATTATAAACGGTGCAGCTTTCCTTAAAATGTAATTTTGCAAATAAAATTAGAAGCTTCTTGACAGAAGCAGCTTTTTTTTTTTTAAATGAGATTATTATGTTTGTTCTCTGTATAGGCATAAGCAGCCTACATGATTTGGTACTGCATTTTGTCACCCTTCAGTCTCACTAGTCTTGTAACTGCGGTTTCTTGTTGCTGGAAAGATGCTTAAGCTTCAGAGTGAAGCCTGTAAGGACTAATGTCAAACAACTACAAAATTGGCACACACTCTGCTTGCAAATGATACTGGGCATTTTTAAACATAGATACTGAGTTTGGAAGCTGCCTCTTTTAGGAGAATGTTATGTCTAAGACTAGTTACTGTAAGTGTAAGCACCAGAATTTCCCAGGCTAACCTGAATATTGGAAGAAATTTCCTTTTTTAACAAGCCAAAAAAACAACAACAACAACAACAAAAAAGAAGGCTTCAAATATATTTGCAGAAAACTCTAAGGGGAGTTGTTTTTTGTAAGTAGTGAGAATTTTAAATTTCATGTGAGTATAAGAAATGCAAATAGTCTGAAACTCATCAGGTACATTTAATATGTACACAGTTGTTTGGGCCATTTAAATTTTTCTGCTGCCTGTGATGTGAGACCCCCACACAGAGAGAATATCTGCTCTCTGGATTAGACACTTGGGTTTACAATAGCCAAGTCCTAGTCAAAAGATTTGACAATGCCAAGTGTGAGTACTGAGCGTTCTGAGTGAGGGTATTTTCTGTGCTTTGGTGCACAGAAGTCTGTAATAGCAAAGTGAGTTTATGGATGTGTGTCTGTTGGCAGTGAAGATGGTAAATCCCCAGCCTTGCAGTCGGTCCCTCTTTTCTGGAGCACGTAGTGAAGTTTGCATGCCTGTGTCCCTGGGGGGGGGGGTTGTCTGTGTTGTTCAGCACCGAATGAAGATAAACCAATGTCAATATAGCAGGTTGGGAGCTGAAAATGAGTAAGGATAGGCTCAGGTTCTGTGACGTCCACTAGCTATATTTACCCATCAGTAAAGAAAAGGCCAACTACTGTGTACTAAGAAAGATAAAGACTATTGCTTGCAAACTGCTTTTACATATCAACTGTAAGGCTGTGACCTTTCTCTTGAGAGACTTAAGCAAAAGAAACTAGAAATAACTGACGCTAGTCTGCAAAATGTCACTGAACAGTCTCCGAAGGATTTTAACTTTTTAACTTTGTCTGTATTGCTCTCAGTTAATTTTGGCTTAGCTGTTCCTCTCTTAGCCAGCTCTGAGGCTTATACCAAAAGGGGGAAAAAAAAGGTCTGAAACATGAGTTAGAAATCTCTCACTTACATATAATTACTGTGTGGCTGAAGCATTTGATCACAATTCAAAGCAACTAAGGACTACCATGTTCTGTTTCACCTTCCATTACTTTAAAAAAAAAAAAAGAAAAAAGTGTAGGCCTAAGGATTTTGAGATGTTCAACACTTGTCTTTGCTGTCCAGGCTTCTTTTTAAATGAGAGCTGAATATTTAACTAGAGACAAACTTTCACCAATAATGAATTAGACTATATACAAGGAGCCTTTTTTTACCCTTTTAATTCTGGAAATAATTTTTTCATTTGATTATGTAAGCAAAATTGCTTTCCCAGATGTCTGTATTTCTTTGCAATTTCTTATCCATATAATGTGCTGACCAGTTTGTATTTTATTTTTTCTCCCAAAATGAAAAATGGTAAACCTGTATTTTCTAACCTTTTAATATAATTTTCTTAAGAGTCACCCTTCAAATACTCACCAACAGAAAAATTTGAAAATATTTTATATAAGATAGCAAGGCATGATTTTCTGTTGCCTTATTCCTGTTTTTAACTTGTATGATCATACAAAATTGTTACATAGTCAAGTTTTTCCTCTGTACCAGTTGAAGTAAGTGGTAAGTTTTCTGTCATTTTCGATAAAGAAGGGTCAGACAATGTGTGTAGAAAGCCAAGAGCTCATTAAGTATGTTCTTCACTGCAAAATACATTTATTGTGTGTTTTGGTTTGGTTTTTAGTGTTGTGAAACCTAGTTAAGTGCAATGCAAGTACTATTCCTCACCAGGTTAGATTTATTTTTAAATAGTTTAAAACCCTTGTTTTTCCAAGTTTTTAAATTTTTTTTTTTTTTTTTTTTTATAGGCACATACCCTTTTGTGACTTCATCCAACTGCACGGTTGGAGGTGTCTGTACAGGTTTGGGCATGCCACCACAGAACGTCGGGGAGGTGTACGGAGTCGTGAAAGCATATACAACCAGAGTTGGAATTGGTGCCTTTCCCACAGAACAAAATAATGTGAGTGTTACCAGCCCTACGTGGGACCTGTAGCTGGGTGGAATAACTTGGTGTGCCTGTCATGTTCAGAGTTGCAGGCTGAGAGCAAGTAGATAACGGTGTGCTTGGATGTCTCGTTCTTTTGGTTCTAGACAGAGCTTAGAGGACCACCAGATCTAATTGTCAGTTTCTCAGGCCTTCCTATGGAATAGAAAGCTTATGCAGAAACAAATCTTGAGAGATTTTCTCAAATAGTGTTCTCTTGAATTAGAAATAGCATTTTGTAATTATCTTTTTATCTCAATGGACAACTTTGTGTGAAAAATGGGGGAAGAAGTTTTAAGGTAATATATTACAAAATTTTACAAATTACAAATATTACTCTTTGTTAGGAAATTGGAGACTTGCTGCAAGTGAGAGGTAAAGAGTTTGGTGTTACCAGTGGCAGGAAGAGGAGATGTGGCTGGCTGGACCTTGTGTTACTCCGATATGCCTACATGATTAATGGATTCACTGCGTGAGTTACTCTGACAGCTTTCAAAATCATTAAATGCTACAGATTACTCTAAATTGTACATATACTAGTTAATAACTTATAGACAGTCTTAATTTGTTGATTTTTTTTCATATTTGTATAAATTAAATGTTGCTTATTTTTCCTATTGTTAAATGTTTTTATAGTTGACACTCTCATGCTCATAATTTTTCTTTCCTTTATTTGTAATATCATTATTTCTCATTTAAAATTATTCAGGAAGCACTTATTTATCTTAGTATTTGATTCAAGCTACAGCAACTCCTACCACCAAACCAAATCAAGTGCATTACAAAGGTCTTAAAACCTGATACAGTTTGTGAGGTTTTGGTTTTTAGTATGTTTCCAAAATAAGACAGATGGAAACCCATCAGTACCTTCACCAGGATGTGTAAATGTAAAAAATGTGGATATATCTTTGGTGTTTTAATTAAAATGAAAAATAGGTGTCTGAAACAAAACTAGTATAAAATTTATAGCAGATCAAACTGTAAATACATGCGTTACTTAAATTTTCCCTATATTTTTTTTCCTTTGTGATTTTCAGGATATATGAGATAAAACAGGATGCAGACAGTTATTTACAGTGTTTGATTATTTTGCTGCCTTTGCCAAATGTTCCTATTCTATAGTAAAGGACAGGAACAGGCAGCAGCAGGCATCATGCTCTGAAAGCATCTCAAATGAATGGTCATAAAGTATCTTAGCAGCACCCAGACCAATTAAAATTCTAACATTTAAAGCTATAGACCTGTCACTTTAATTGGAGAATATCTGTTTGAGTTTTGCTATTTTCTTACAAGACTAGACCTAACCCCCCAGCAACTTAAACAGCTTTTTTTGTTGGGTCCTTTTGTTTGTGTAGGTTTTTTTGGTTTTTTTTAAAGTCACACCAGTTTAATAGGTTAGTGCCATACCAGCTATTTTTCTAAGGAAAGACAATGAATTGCAATGTGCAGGAATCTTTTGGCATTTTTACAATGTGATTAGAGTTGAGAGTTGTTGAATTTGCTTAACCAGAGTAATATTTCTTTATAGATTGGCACTTACCAAATTGGATATCTTGGATGTGTTTCCAGAAATCAAAGTTGGTGTTGCATACAAACTAGATGGTGAAATCATACCTCATTTTCCTGGTAAGACTGCTGGTTTAAGAATTCTAGATTCTGGTGAAATGTAATCTGATACTTAAATCTAGTTGACTTTTACTTGTAAAATTTATGACAGGAATGTCTTACTTCAGCATCAAGCCATCAGCATCTTCCCAGATGTACCAGAGACATCCTGTACCACATTCTAAAGACTCCTGTACCAAACACTGTCATTTATTTGTCTACTAGAAAGATGAAAAGTGCTATTTAAAGCTTCTTAAGCATAAATGTTACTGCTTTATCACTTATTAATGCAGCCTGTGTTACCTTCAAGCAAAATTGGGAGCTCATTTCAGACTCTAAACCCCATGTCTTATTCCCACTACTGTTTTCATCCCCTCTTCTAGCAGGACAGCTCTTCATTTAAGCATGCAGTGAGCCATGGGAGAGAACTGATCCAGTTGAAAAGTTAGGTTCTTCTCTCTCTGTGTTGTTTTTCTAAGAGTTCAGATCCTTTTAATGGTTCACAAAAGAGCCAAAAACCTGTCAGACCTACACAATGGAAAAGAGGGAGAAAGGGTGGAGGAGGAAATGAGCAATTAGTTTCGGTGAAAGCACTGCTAGCTTCTAATGCAGGACCAACAAACCTCAGCTTAGCATGATGGAAACTATAGCTCCAGTGCTCATTTAGTGATCATTTTTACCTGAAAAATGAATCTCAATGTTAAAATATTAAAATATAATAAAACATTGTCTTAATGTTTTCAGTTTGCTATAGTAGAGATAATCCAGAAAAAAAAAAAAGATTATTAATCAGTACTGAAGTTTGGGCTTTCTGATATTCTAATGTGTGCATAGGTGCCAGTTTCCATGTTAATTTCTACCTTAGGGTTTGTGGCTGGTAGCAGGTTACAGCAGCAGAACACTTTTTGTGGGTAAGGAGATCAACTGTAGTAATAAAACCGATAGCAGGATTGTAGTGACTGAAGGGGTAGATGCAGGGAGA